ACACACACACACACACACACACACACACACACACACACACACACACAAACACACACACATTAGTGGAAGCTCCACCACCACAGCTGGGACTTGTAGCAGCGCACACTCACACACTGCTGCACATATGTCTCTGTAAGTGGCTGCGGCACTATTCTGTCATCTGTCGGCAGCAAATGTGGCCTCCCTGCTGGGAAACCAGGGAATAGGCAGCGGACAAATGAAGCTGACCTACAAAGGCAAAGAACAGCAATTATTTCTCAGAGAGATGGACAAAAAAAAAAAGGCTGCGGAAGCTCGTTTCCGCTGCTTTTGCTTTAATTAAAGAAAGACCATGTAAAGGTGAAGGTGAGGATAAATAAGTCCTCCATGGACAGTCTCGCGTGGCGTTTGTTGTCTCCACAGAGAAATGTGTCGGTGTTTCAGCTGGCTTGCATCAGAACGGTGGATTTAACACGGTCATTCTTAGAAGCATCTCCTAAAAGCGTGTCTTAAACTCTACTAGAATTAGCACGACAAAGCCTAAAGGGGTGTCATTTAGTCATTTTAAACTCTCAGCTGCTCTGAGCTCTTCCTCTGCTCATTGGAAGTAAATCGCACGGCTACAGAGCTGTTGTGGATCATTTCATTTTCAAAGTACACCTGCGAGGCTCAAATGTTTACTGTGCCAAAGAAGAGTAGTTTTTCTGTATTATCGTGTTTCCTTCAAAGCAGAAACACTCTTATTTCCAGTCTAATTTTCTTCATCAAGCCACTTAACTCAGGCAAAAAGGACCCTAACTCAAGGGATGAGCCAATGCTGTGAAGAAGCAGCTTAAACAGCAGCCTGTCACAAAGACACGTCATTTGTTCCCATTTCTTTAGCTGTTAGCTGGAAAAGGCCAAAGGAAACACAGTCTGACAGACGGGAAACAGGATTTCTGAGGATTCCCAAAGAGCTGCTGGCTGGCTTCTCCATGAAGGGGGGCTTTCCAGAAGCCATGAAGGAAGGAAACAGGAGGAAAGGCTGAGCTCTGCCAGAGGAACCAGAAGTGGACTGAAAACCAGCTCTGATGGGAGATGGATCCTCCAGAGTGAAGCAGAGTGGGATCATCTGAAGGCAGAAACATCCAGAAAAGATGGAGAGCTTTTCCTGGAGGCTCCTCATTGAGAGGACACACAGCTGGTCGGCTGACATTTGAACATTTCGATAATTTTTCACCTGGAAGGAAGCGCACTGAGAGGCGGGATGCGGGGCCGGGACGCTGTCTGAGAGGCCTCTATGAATCTCACAGTGAACCGGTCTCTTTTTCAGCCCCTCACTTCTCACCTGGAGGCTCCTCCACGCTGCTTTCTGATGGAAGCTGATCAGGAACGGAGCAGAAATCTCCCAAAAAGTCCAAATCCTCCCTCATCTGCTGGAATGGAAGAATCCAAACTGCTCGGATGTGATGGCCATTTCATGCCTGGTTTGAGAGTGAAGCAGGGAGGAGAGGAAGGATAAAAATAGTCCGGCCTGTCCGCTTCCTTGTGGAGCTTTTCATTGTCTAGTTGTACTTTTTCTCCCTGAGCGGCGGACTGTGAAGACACCTTCACAAAAGGACGTCCTCTCCTTTTGTCACTTCCATTACGGTGTGTGTGCCACCAGGGAAACTATTTCCAAATGTCTCTTTTTGTCACCTTGACATTTAAAGAGTGGCTTCACCCCCAGCCTCCGCCGTCTGAGGCCCGCATGTGACTTTGCATCGACTTCTGGATGTCATTGTCTGCGTCCGACTCCAAATGGGTTTTTAATAAGTACCTCTTTGAAATGAGATGTCTCGTTGAAGTGAAAGTGTGTTTTGTTTTTTTTATTCCCTGTAGGAGCTCGGCTCGGCTGCTCAGATTGCAGGTTCAGGCCACCGCTGGCTAAATCAAATATATTGACTTTCTCATTTATTCCAAACATGCTTGGCTGTAACAGCTCAACTGCTCTGTTCTCAGCCGACTGCGTCCTGGCCGCTCTTTGTTGTGTTTTATTGAGTCGATTTCCATTTAGCCAATAGAACGATTAGCAGATTTCTGGAAGAATCATGGTTGTTATTATTACGCCGAGGGTTTTTTTTTTATGGTGCGGATGGCCTGGTTTGGTCACAGTGTTGTGCCTCTTCTCTCCCCTCAGTGCACCAAGCCGTGATGCCAAACCCAGCATCCAGCTACCAGACCATGGTGGGCATGCAGCCAGCACACAGCCTCGCTCTCACTGGCAACCAGCAAAGCAATATGGCCAACCAGATGCAGGGCATGATGGTCCAGTACCCTCCAATGCAGTCTTACCAGGTATCGCATCAGAAGCAGAAATACTTAATAACCCCAGAGGGAAATTGGTTTTGTTACCAACTCCAGATATACAACAGCACATGCATATATACATGTATGAATGTATACACATACAACTATAAGTATATATACAGATCTAAAACAAGTGACAATGATAGTGCAATAAGAATAAACAAATGCCAATAAATTAGCCAAATTTTACAGATGAGGCTCTGACTCTCTGAGGGAGGCACCGTACAGATTGATGGCCACTGGCAGGAATGACCTCCCATTGTGCATCTTGATGAAAGGAAAAAGTCCTCGTCCGCTTCTCAATCAGAAGTCCTGCTATCGGGATAATTTCTGTCAAAAACTCTGCTTTTGTTTTTTTTAACTCCCAAAAAAGTGGAGAGCTTGTTGAGAGCTGAAGTGTTTGTTTGTGTTATATCTCTGGGTTTGATGTCCCTGTGTGTTTGTGTGTGTGTTTTGCAGCAGGTCTCGGTCCCCCAGCAGACGTACCAGCAGCCCCTGCTGGTGTCCTGCCCGCCGGGACAGGGCGCCGTGGCTGTGGCCGGCGTGCAGCCCTGCTACAACCTGCTGCCCCCCAACCAGCACACCACCATGAGGTACGCCCCACCACACATCCCACTCCCACTCAGACCCACTCTGGCTCTGAGTGGGAACGCTGGGGGGGAGGAGGAGGAGGGGGTCAGGCAGATGTTTATTAAATGACGACGCTCAGCCTGCCAGAGCAGAAACTGTTTGTCTTTACCCAGAAATCCAATTATGATGTTTTAATTTGAGGTGTTTAATGTTTGAGCAGAAAGTGCCACGAACACGCAGACGGTTTCCCACATAATTATGACAATTAGAGCCCGGCCCGGACTGGATTAATGAGGCTCGCTCGCAGAATAAATTGGAGCACGTTCAATTTCATTTTAGCTGTTGTTTTCCATGTTTTTCTCCCCTTTTGGTGTAACACACTTAACTGGTAGAAGTTCACAGTGTGTATTCAGCCTGTAAATAACAGCAGAATTCAGCTTTCAGATGAAAATAAAGGGGAAACATTTTGACAAGAAAGGACATTTTAATGCCAAGAAGCAGAATGCTTTAAGTAAATTACTTTTTCAACATTCAAAATCATGTTTAGGCTGATAGAATTAATACTTGAGTAGTTTTGTATAGGCTTTAATATAATAAAACACTTGTTCCATCAGTTTTTATAATGAAAAACCCTCCTGAAACTGGACGTCTGGACTGTTCTGTGCCACAGTTTTTCCTGTTTTCAGCACCAGATGTTTGTATGCAAACTCTGCTTTTACTAAACATTTTGGCCTATCTTTCCATTTTTATTCAAAGGCTGTTTTTCGGACCTTTAAACCTTTTCATTGGTCATTTGATTTGACGTTTTCACTCCTGGAGAGGCTCTCATCCACAGAGCCAGCAGCTCTGATGAGTGGATCCTCACAGCTCCTGAGAGCTCAGGTCATCTTTGCTCACTGCTGGGAGGTAAAAAATGAAGGTATTATCAAAATGTCTAGAAAACTGGGTCTGTGTGTGGCTGATGAATGCCGACTCAAGGAGCTTTTTCCATTTTCCGTCATTACTCTGCTTCTGCGGAGCGCCTCTCATTACACCTGATTGATAGAACGAGTTCACAGAAAGCAAAACATGTAATTAGTTTCTACCTCCACAGACCCGATCAATCTGGGAAGCGGTGAGCGGACTCCACAGGGAGCACAAAGGCAGGAACCTGCAGCAGAACAATGCAAAGACGCTCCTGGGAGAGGAGAGGTCACTTTCTCATTGTCCCAGCTGCAGAGCGGGGCTGCTTTAGTGGGTCAGTCAGCGTTGGGATGATTAATGCCGCAGCTCTGGAAGGGCTCAGGCTTCCCCCGCCAGGGTTTTCTGTCCACCTGCAGCCTGCTTTTTCACCAGCTGGAGACCGGTCCCAGCAGGCCGCTCCTCACCCAGATAGGCGCCCACTTTCCAGATGGCCTTAAAGTTAGATTTCAGATCTAATACCTCGCAGATCTCAGGGCTCCTGAGGAGGTACCTGATGTCCGTGTGCCTCCAGCCGCCTGGGAGATGAAAGCTTTTTTTTTTTTTTTTCTTTCCTCCTTGTCGTGTTTGGCATTATGGCAACAGAATTGTGATCTGAGTGCCGTGCTTTGCCCGACACTTTTGCTTTGCTAAGGGAGGCCTGTCGGGGTGAGAAGCCTCCCTGGATCATCCAATACTGCTTTATTATTTATTTAAGATTTATTTTTGTTACATAAGTAAGATGGTTAATGCCAAACCTGACCGGGCAACAGGAAGAGAGGAGAGAAAAAAAAGAAAGAGAGACAACAAAACCATCCATCCAGCTCCTGTATCTGTAGAAAGATTACCTGTAGTCACCGTGGGCAAACCCGAGGGAGAACCTGCAAACAAAAACTACGGGACACACACAAACTAACAAAAACAAACAGCAAAATAATACTGCGGACATACCCGTAGAAACCTGTAGAAGCACCTGCGAGCAGACACAAGAAAGAGACACACACAAACTGTGAGATGATCTCTCTGTGAGATGAAAGCTTTGCTTTGTTTTGTGTTTCTCCCGCTCACAGCTCCACGGTGAGCTTCCTGCCGGCCCCCATGATGGAGCAGTTCCAGTTCTCCCAGACGCCGTCCCCCTGTGTCTCCCAGCAGCACCCAGGCCAGCAGTATTCAGGTATCTAACCCCGGAAACTGCTCTGACTCCACCCAGCCCTTCTCCAGATCCCTGTCACTGCCAGAGCCCTGACCGTTTTTATTCTCCCATCTCTCAGTGTCAATAACTGGAGAGTGCTTCCCTCCTCAGCCACAACGGTGCGCCCATAATGAAATAATCGTCCCCTGGCCTCCTTTGCCTCGGTGTGTGTGTCGGCCTGTAATTAGATTTACGCTCCAGGTTTTTAAATGAAAAACAGGGAGGCGGTGACGGGACTCTGGGGGACGTGCACGCCTCTTCCTCCTGAGCTGGACAGACATAAGATGCTGCTTTGCAGGAAGAATTTCCTCCAATTTTAAGCACAACTTTTGTCTGATAACGTTAAAAGTCTATATAAGAATGACTTTATTTGGAATTCAAGATGTCTTTCTCAAGCTCAAAGAAAGTTCAAGTGATAGAAAGACAGCTGGATCTTTGTGCAAATAAAAATATGGAAAAACCCTCCAAGCAGCCTTCAGTCAGAGGCTCCTCCAGCCCCACATCCTTTAGCCAAAGCCGGTCAGATACCTGTAAATCCGTCTAAATGGGCAGAAAACGGCACAGAAGTGCAAAGAATTGCATCATTTTTTACAGTTCAAGCATGAAAATGTATATAAAAAAGCGTTTTACACAGTTAAATGCTCTATTTCTGCGTTAAGGTGATACCGACATGTTTCATATTCGCTTTAGGTTTTTAGCCCCCTCACAGACACTTTGTGCTGTTGCAAAAATGATTTAACAATCTGTTTTGTGTTTTATTGTTTGTATGAGCTGATGAACACAAAAGTGTCAGAGTAGCTGTAGAAAAAATATTTGGTCTTTTCACCTGTTTTGCGGCGTCTTCAGCTGCTGGATGGCCGGCTTCGGGGGGGCAGTCTCCTTACTAATGACCTTTATTATTCATGTCTGATTACTCTGGGAGGGCGGCGGAGGGACTCATCATTCCCGGCCTGTCGGTAATGAGGTCGGATGAAGGTCTCATAACGGCCCCACCGACAGCGTGACCAGTAAACACTTTTAATTGGCCGGACAGTGGCCGGGAATAATCAGCCGATTAAGTCCGAACGGCCATCGTCCTTGTTACTGTTGTAAGGAATTATTCCATAAATCAGATAAATCAGCGCTTTATTATTAAACGACTTCCACCTCGACTGAGCCGAGAGTAAACCTCTATTAATTAAATGGAAATTTAGATGATGTTTGGAGTCCGTTATGAGATCGAATCCTGGATCAAAAAGGCTAAACTATTGTGTGTCTCT